TTATGGGGGTTCAGGGGCGCACGCGGCTACCTTCCAGGCACTTGAGCGATGGCTGCTGGGTCGGGAGCAGGCGTGGTTCTCCTTCCCGCGTTGGATCGGGGCCCGGCCTACCTCCCGGCGCTTGAGCGGTGGTGGCTGGGTCGGGAGCAGGCGTGGTTCTTCCCGCGGTGGATCTGCCCGGCCTACCTCCCGGTGCTTGAGCGATGGCTGCTGGGTCGGGAGCAGGCATGGTTCTCCTTCCAGCGGTGGATCGGGGCCTCTATTTGTTGGGTTTTGATGGAGGTTTTTTTTTTTTGTTTTTTGATGGTGGGGATGAAACCCAAGGCTTTGCTCATGGTTTACCACTGAGCCCTTCCTTACAAGTAATACAGCTATTTCTATCCAGGAAAACTAGCGTTTACTGTTGCACATGTGACAATGAGCTCTCCAGTATTCTAACCAAAATGTCCACATATTCCCTAGGAGAAATTTTGAGTCCCAATGATCTCATGTCCCCTCATTTCAGATTCTTATGTCTTGTTCCTGAGCAATCAACAGTGTACTTCATCGTGTGTTAAGTCATCCAGACATATTTGTTTTTGTTTGAATCTCTTCCAAATTGCTATGGAGACAAATGTAAACAGATTATGATTATGAGCTAAGCATTAGAAAAAGTAAGAGGATGTTTAGATTCTTAGATGGCTGAGCATTAGATCACCCATACCTTAGATTAGGGAGAGAATATATTGCTACCTAATTGCTTATTCTTTTTTATAGTATGATTGAAGCCTTTGCAAATCCTGAGCATACCACTTCTCATTCATTTTGTGTAGATACAAGTTCAGAAATTTCTAGGTAAGAATTTTTATTCACTGTACCGTTTTGAAATAATCATGTTTTACAAATAAATAAGAGTATGAATTGATGTTTGGTTGTACCGATTTGAAATAAGTGGTAAACATTTTGATTAAAACCTAAGAAAAAAACAAAAGCAACTTGAAGAGCAATGTAGGTGTATGTTTATGACATCTTAGTTATTCAAATATTTTCCTCTATTAGTTTTCAAGTTTTACAGTGTATGTAATTTATAATGTGTTATATCTACTGACATCGTTTAGTTTTTCCTGTATGCTTAAAGACAAACAGAAATTATGTTAGAGCAATTATTTCAGGAAAAATATTGTGGATATATATTTGAAAGGTGTAATTGGTGCTCATTTTCAGCTTTTAGTTTGTGATAGCATGTACTCCTCTTCAGAATTATATTTATATGTCTTTTAAATTTTTAACAGGTTGAAAGATTGTTTAATGCTTAGAAACCTTGCTAAAATACAGTAGGAAAATACAGCACAGCTTTACTTCAGAAGAAATTAATATTATTAGAATTGGTCTTCTTACTAGTTGTTGAAAGCAAAGGCCAATAAAGTTTTCTTAAAATAAGCACATAAGTTGTGATGCCTGTTTTTCATGGATTTGCCAGAGTTTTGTTTTTGAGCATTTTGAATGTTCATTGAAAGCGGATATTATTGCTGAAAGGGAATGATTCTAAACTCGAATAAATCTAAGTCCAGGGATGTATTTAGCTCAGTGGTTCTGCTGCCTGCCTCACAAGCACCAGGACCCGCGTTCGATCCCCAGTACCAAATATA